GGTCCTTGTCTGGTAAGATGATGGGATGACGGCTCTCGAACGGTAGTTGTGAGCGATCGAGTCGACCGCCCACACGAAGTAGACCATCGGTATAGATAGGACGCAGGTTTGCCAACTTCTTGCAGGGTTCGTGGGCAACAACTCGTTGAATCTCGTCCGCCAAATGAACGAACTGAACCACGTGGATTATAGCTTCGGTTGCCTGTCGCAGTTCCGGTATCATCAGGTGATGGTTTGTCTTCCGCTCGGCAGGGTTCTTCATACGGCAGTTACCAACGAATCGCAAGACGTAGCCCATTACACGTTGGATTTTGCGGAAGCTGCTGTATCTGGAGAAAAATGGGAAAGGTTCCATACTCACAGCTGCGGTGACGGTGACTGGTTTCAGCTCTGGCAGCAACGGATCTGGTACTTCTTCGGGTGGATCGATGTCGCATTTCACTCTCTGGAGGAACTCAGGGCCATTCCACCAAAGGTTGTTGTTCTCCAAGGCTCCAGGTAGTTGGCCGCGCGAGACGATGTCGGCAGGGTTCTGCAGCGATCTAACGTACTCCCACCGGAATCCACCAGTGTGTTCTTGAATTACAGCGATTCGGTTTCGGACGAATAATAGGAGTTGGTTGAGCGGTTTCTTGATCCAGGCTAGGACAATCGTACTGTCACACCAAAGTACAATTTCCCGGAACTCCATATCCAGGGCAGGTAATACCTTCAGAACTAATCGTGTCAGCAGGAGAGCGGCGCAAAGTTCTTTTCGTGGGATGGAAAGATCGTGAAGAGGGGCCAACTTGGATTTGCTTGTCAGTAGGCGGAGCTTCGCTGAACCATCGTTGAAGAGGCTTCGTAGGTAGATGCAGGCCCCGTACGCCACTGTTGAGGCATCGGAGAACCCGTGCAATTCGAACGCGACGACTCCTTGGAATGTCACGCATCTTGGGATGGCGATGTTGTGCAAATGCGACAACGAAGCTTGAAGTTCTTGCCACTTTTGCGCCGTGTTTTCATCAATCGGATCGTCCCATCCGACCTTGAGCTGCCACAACCGTTGAGCCATTAGTTTTGCCAATACGATGACTGGAGAGACCAGCCCAAGAGGGTCGAAGAATTTGGCTATCTCCGAATACATTACCCTCTTCGTAACACGTTGTTGTAATGGCGGCGGTAGCTTCGGATGGTTTGCAATGTACAGCGTATCGGCATTCGGATCCCAGAGCAAGCCAAGGACCTTGATAGCTTCGTTTACATCACGTTCTTCTAACGGTACCCTTTTTTCCTGGTCTTCCACGGGAATGCGCTCGAGAAATTCTTTGGAGTTCGGGCACCATTTATGTATCGGAAAACCACCACGTCCTAGGAGCTGCTTCAATTGTTGTTGAGCTTCGATTGCATCTTCCACCGAGTCTGCGCCGGACAGTACATCGTCCATGTACGTCTCCTCCTTTACAATGCGAGAGGCGATAGGAAAAAACTCACCTTCTTCCTCGACGAGCTGTACCAGGCACCTTGTTGCGAGGTATGGAGCGGATGCTGTACCGTAGGTAACAGTACACAGTTCCAGAACCCGTAGCTTCTGCGACGGGTGTGGTCTCCAGAAGATTCTGAGGAAACGTCGATCTTGTAGTGCTTGCAGTACCTGCCGGTACATCTTGGCAACGTCTCCAGAAAAGGCGATCTTGAACTTTCGGAAGCGTAGGACGATGAAATGCAGATCATTCTGCACCATAGGACCGACTTGCAGGACTTCGTTTAAAGACAGCTTTTCGGATGACGACTTGGCACTTGCATCGAACACGACACGACATTTTGTGCTCGAGCTGGACGGACGCAGTACAGCGTGATGTGGAAGATAATACCTCTGCTGGTTGGGAGGATCATCAGCTTCATTGATTTCACGGCAATGTTCGAGAACCTCGTACTCTCGAACGAACTCTACGTACTGCGCTTGTAGTTCGGGATTGTTCATCAGTCGTTTCTCCAGCATCAGGAACCTCTTCAGAGCTAAAGCACGGCAATCGTCCAGCTGCGAAGAATTTTCGTTGAACGGCAAGCTCACGATAAATCTTCCGGACTCGTCACGCTGGTATGTGGACAGAAAGTGTGCTTCGCATGCCATCTCCTCGGTTGATAACTTGGGTACGTCCGGCACTTCCTCGATTTGCCAGAACTTGTACATCTTTCGCTCGATGTCTTCAAGAGAAACGTGGCTGGCATGCTGAACTGATACGTTGGAAATCTGTGGCTCGACGATGACACCAGATACGATCCACCCAAGGTGAGTGTCTCGCAACTGTGGCAGGTTGTCCGCCAGGTTGAGTTGGCTTGGCTTCAGTATATCAAAAAACAGCTCTGCGCCGATCAACAGGTCCACCTTATCGGGCGTGTGGAACTCGGGATCGGCAAGAACCACTCCAGCAGGGATGTCCCAATTGTTGATGTTGATCTTCGACGATGGAATTGTGCCCGTTACTTTCGGCGTCACTAGGCACTCGAGGCTGGCTTGGAAGTTGGATACTCGGGACTTGAATTTCAGCGTCACCTTGTCACGAGCGAGGGTGCGCAACGCGTTGATACCGGTGATCGAAACGTTGGCTGGCTTCTTCGGCAGACCCAGGCGATTGGCCATGTCTTCGGTCACGAAATTCACCTGGGAGCCGCTGTCCAACAGGACGCGGCATGGATGGGGATGACTCTTCTTATCAAACACCTGCACCACTGCGGTAAGCAGTAGTACCGTCTTGGTCGACTGGGCGAAGTTTGACGAACAGGTGGTGGACACAGGATGTTCCACGGGGGCAAGAATCTTCTGCACCGACGTCGACGGTTGACTCGGAGCAGCCGGAACCGGTGGCGGGATTGCCATAGATTCCGCGGAAAGAGAAATGTTTGGCATTTTCTCCTGGGTGGGTGCCCCATCATCATGGAGCAACGTGTGGTGTCGGCGCTGACACTTGTGACACGTCTTGATTGAAGGGCAGTTCTTGGAACGGTGTCCTTTGCGCAGGCAGTTAAAGCAGACTCCTGCGGCTCGGATCTTTTCGTTCTTCTGGGAAGCGGTTAGGTTGTTCAGGGCAGTGCACTGGAAGTTCCGATGATCACCACCACAAATCTCACATGCTTGGGACGCATTGGTGGAAACTGCGTGGCTCTTCTGCGGCTGAACTCTTAAAGGTAGCTGGGCTTGTTTTGGCTTGATTGTTGGCGGCACTGACTGGAACGCTGCTTCGCAGTTTTCCAGAATCTGGCATCTGGATTTCAGGAACTCGATGACTTGGGAATACTTCGGAAGATCTCCTTTTTTCTGGGTCCCTTCCCAGGACTTACGGGTCGATTTATCAAGTGCTGAAATTATCAGATACACAATGATGTGTTCTGAAACTCCGGTGATTTGTTGCTGAAGGTAGCGCAAACTTTCGACGTGGTGAGTGGTTTCGTTCAGCAATGTTCGCAATTCCTTATGAGACTCCGACGTCATCTTCTTGAGGAACAACAACCCACGGATGTGAGTTTCCACTATGACTCGCTTGTTCTCGTATCGGTCCGTTAAAATGGTCCAAGCTTGCTCGTAGTTACCCTCGCTTAGGAGCTTAGCGTCCAGAACTCCAGTAGCATCTCCGATAAGAGCTTTATCGAGGTGATACAATTTTATGGCATTTGTATCCCCCGAGTTGGCCATCAGGTCCTGGAAGATGGCCTTGAACTTGGGCCATGCGTCGTAACTCCCATCGAACGTTGGGATTGGTGCTTTTAACGGTTGCTGCTGGATAATCACGTGAGGTGCTGCTGGAATGGCTGGAGGAACCTTTGGAGTGGCTCGAGCTTTTGCCTCTAGCAGTAACTCTTCCACAGCATTGGATACGTCGTAGTACAATTTCTCGAAGCTTGCGTATTCGTCATCCTGTCCATCGAGCGCTTCATCGGGTACCAGGGCTATTACCGTGCTGTGAAATTGGCTGTACTCAGCGTAGGTAACAGCCAGGTTCTTGGATAGCACACCAAGTTGTGCCAATCCAAGCGTCTCATTGATCAACGTCCGATTAATCCGCACCAACTTCATTTTCGCTTGGGAACCAATCCACGATATTTCTTTGCTGTAGCTTCATCCCAGTCGGCTTCCCATTCGTCGAATCCATGGAACGATCCAGATCCATCCGATGGTGACGGATTTCCTTGTTGCTGTTCGACACCAGCATCTTGCACGCCATCGCGAGTCGCACCAGCATCTTGCACACCATCGCGTGTCGACGAACGCGTAATAGGCATTTTCGTATTTTTACGAAATCACTTTGTCTTTAATTTGTCGCGAACGCGCACACGAACTCGATTCACTTGTTTATTCGCGCACGACGGGCATCGGCAACAGCGGAAGCAGTTTTGTTTTGGCACTGTTTGCTAGCGTAGCTCGTCCTTTTCCCCACTCGGAAGGCGGCAGGCAGTTCGATCCTTTTGGTAGGACTGGGCAAACTTTCGGGCGAAAGCTTCTTCAAACGGCTCGCTATCCGGTTCGTGATGGACCAAATTGATGTTCGGTCTGGGAAGGCACTTTCCCTTTCGGCAGTGGACTGTATCGGCAATGATTGGTGGAGGAGGCAAGCGTCGATCTAAATCAAACTCTTTGAGCTCTGAAAAGAGCTGGGGGTGGGGTTCAACGCTTGCTCCGAACCAGGGATGCTTGCTGGGTAATTATTCAAACGGCGAACGGCTACGCTAGTAACTACTTTATTTCTCTACTGCTTTTGTTTGCAAAGGTTTGCTTTCTTCTGCTGCTTGCTGATGCTTACTCGTGGCCGGTCAAAAGGTAACTGATTGTCAGTTTGCCTAATGGGTGCCACTTTTATAGGAGCGCGCTGTCTGCGCATGGTGATATGGACGTCGCTGATTGGTTAGTGTTGTTTGTCGCTGTTCGTCAGCGGCGATTGTCAAGATGGTTGGTTCACTTTCGGCGGAGACGGAACAATGTTGTTCGTCTTGGTAAGTTTCTTTCGACATAAATTTCATCTACATTTTTATGAATATTAAAATATTTATTATTCACAAATCTGCTCTTTTTCACGATTTACATATAATAGTAAACTTTCTCTTAAAATTTACAAGTTTACTGCCATCCTTACATTGTGACACTGTGCACTTTTGTGTAGCCCGTCTACATTGACTGCCTAACATCATGATGTCCTTTTTTTCGGCAATGCCAAATACATTTTATCGTTTTTCCCGTCAAGTGTAGCTGTGTACAGCTTTATAAGCTGTTGATTCAACGTTCCGACGTACCAGGTATGTTATGATCTAAAGAATTACACCTTCCTAAAACATCAATTAGTGACTGTCTCCAAACTAAAAGTACTTCCCCCAGCGGATCGATTGCATTTCTTTTTAAGAATCGATTGGTTTCGTTCTATTTCTGTATTAATAAAATTATTATTATTTTAACTTAATTAACATAAAGCAAAAATAAACCACAACGCAAAATTATGTGCACAGTGTGTTATTTCATTATTTCTGATTTTTTTTTTTATAACTAAGCGCATGTTTGTTTGTAATGGCGAAAGGTACTCACGTACTTTTCGAAAATAGACAGGAAATAATATGGCCGCAAAACAAATGTGTTGGTTTCCTCTGTTACTGCTGATTATCATCGTTGAATCGTCGTGCAGTTCTTGTGTAGATACCTATATTGTTTCGATTTCTTCGCGATAGGAGCGCGATTTGTAGACAATCAGTATTTATATTTACAATTTGATTCTTTCTCCCGTTTTATTGATCAGTTTCGGTTCACATTTCTTAACAAAAAAGAATTGTATGTGCCTATGTTCTATCACTACAATAAAAATACGATCAACATTTTTTTTTTACTTTCCTCAATAGTTTTGTTCTCCCCGACTTGGTAGAACATCTTAGAAAATATCATCTACCGTCATACTGTCGTACCTATGTACACGATGTGTGATAAAGAAAAAAAAACTGCAACACATTTTAAAACTCTTGTTATAAGTAACGCAAGGTGAAATTCTAGTGTATACTCTGGCGAAACGACGTTCTCTCTAGCTCACTGGCTTAAATTATACTTTCAAGGTTCGAAGTAAATTAGATACAATTTATTATCCTTATGGTTCCTATTAGAAGGAAAAAATGCTATAAATTAAACCATATTAGTTTTTGTACAAAAATAGTGTTGTACATCCAATTCGTTCTTAAAAGTAGCGGTTTTCCTCATTTTCTAGGGCAATTGAAAATCATGATAACATGGTTAAACTAAACTATTCAATTGGTCACATTTTCGCCCTTATGAAAGCTTAACTTTGTTGGTCAACATAATAATATTGTTTGTATCAAAAAATATAGGCAAATATACACATAAACATTGCTTGATAGGAAATTTCTAAGAGACGAAATCAAGGAGAAAACGGATTACAAGACTTCATGTTTAATCATAGTACTAAGCTCCGGATGCCGTCCGGGTTGATAATCAATGGGACCAACTGCCACTGACGATTGGTGCTGATGAACTATTCGCTGCTGTTGTTGTTGTTGTTGCTGTTGCTGATACATATGTTGGTAATCAGCGCTCTCGCTGACAACGATTGCATTGGCAGACGCATAGTTGTGATGATTATCTCCACTTGGGGCTCCACCCACAGTACCGACTAAAGTTGCATCCTTGTAATCCAAAATCTCTCCCATAACTATCTGCTGCGAGTGTGGGTGGTGCTGTTGGTGTTGTTGCTGCTGCTGCTGCTGCTGATGTTGCTGATGGTGAGCTATATTTACAGTAATGCCATTTTTATCCTCGATATCAGCGCAAGAATTTTGCCGCTGCTGTTGTTGCTGTTGGTGCGCTTGTGGTTGCTGAGGGACTTGTTGTGAAGTAATGACGGCCCCTGATGGATGATGGATAATGAAACCGCCCCCGTTGGTGCTTGTAGCAATGGCCATGCCATGGGGTGCCTCGACTGTCGTTGCGGCGGCCGATGCCGTTGGCATTACTAGCGATGAAGTTGCATTGCTACTGTGGCCACCAATATTGCCCACTGTTGAATTATTAGCACCAACAGCAGAAACAGTCGTTCCAGCAGTATTCAGCATATTTCATCCCACCTCATTTTTCAGTATGAATACTTTCTTCATTTCCTCCGTACCATCCGGTTTGGTTATACGGAGCATAGCCTCCTCTCACTCGACGTTCGACTGCCTTGACGAGTCGTGAATGATTTCGTACTTGATAACCTGGGCGGTGTTGCTCTCAAGAACCTGAACCTGTTTAAGAGTAAAAGGAAAGCCTGCGTGAGTTACTATATTCCAGTTATCTAAACATCTTAGGCATGCTTTTATAGTATTTTTAAGTTAGCTACAAATGAGCGGATACTATAACCGATTGATAGACTGATGAAAAATATAATAGATACGAAGGAACCTGAAGTAACCTTAAGGCTCTGCCCCGTAACGTGGGTAGATCACCTTTTCGTGGTACGTTACGGGATGTAAGATCTACCACCGATTCCTAGTCCTGACTACTTCAAACTAGGGGAACAGGATTTTTCAGTAATCCAAGGATTGTCTACCAAGGATGATCTTGAAACAAGGAAAAAAAATGAGTTAGTTGTCTTCATCTATGTGATTCCTAATCTTCTATTCGTTGTTCCCTAGTTTGAAGTGGTTAAGACTAGCGTTCTGATGCAAGGTCATTATCGGTGTCATACCTTAATTTTGTTGCTAAGGAATCCAATTTTGACTGACAAAGGGGCGCGCCTTTGGAGAGTGTTTCAACACTCCGAAGGGTATAAATAGCGGGACCTTTCAATTAGAGTTGGATCCTTGCGATAAATGCAAGAGTGTTCCTTTTGGTTTGTTTTTTTTTCCGTCGATCTTGTTTTCCGTGCTGAGCACCAATGCTACCGACATGCCAGGAAAGCAGCTTCCACACCTGGACCCTACCTATCGACCCATCAACTCATGAACCGGGGACCAACGGCTTTACTTCCCATCCGAAGGAAGGCGTGATCAGAGATGTAAATGCAAGAGTGGCAACTGTAAAAAAAATCGAATACTTCATCATTTCTCAATAGTGATGGAGTAATACGACATGCACTAAACTAAAGACACGGGATATACTACAATAGATCAATTTACTGGTCGCAGTAGTGTTAGGTCCCGAACAGAGGAAAAAAAACCTTAAGGCTAGCCTTATTTTTTTATGGATCTCATTATCACTTCGAAACTTTTAGATCTATTCTGTTCGGTGTGTGAGGTGAGGTGAAGTGACAATTGCAAATCAAATGGAGAGTCCCCTCATCTCACACGCCACGCAGAATAAGAGCACTAATATAAGCTCCCACGATATATGACAATACAACAATGAAACTGTTTATGCCCGTTTGCAGCCAGTGTATCAAAGACGGAGTATACACTGGAAAGTTGTCACGTAGTTTGCATGTGAAATTTCACGTAATTCTTCCCCCCCACCCTTATCACGTTGTTCTTATACATAATGCATTGCTTTCACACATTTGTGACCTTCTCCCCATAAGAACGTGACGTATTTAATGGATGCTCCCTAATGTAACGAATGAAAATTGTCTCCTCTATCCAATAGTATTTTTACCTTGCGTGAGTTAATAGTCGTTTGCACGGAATCGTCGGAGGAACTGAAAAGTGTCAGTTGCTAAAATTGCTTGCCAAATTTAAAACCGAATATGTTTGCATGTGTGCGGCACTGTAATCACATAAATCGTTCTTAGTTACAGTACTTGTTCGTTAACTGGACTAAAAGCGCAGCCCAGTTAACGAATTCCACTCGCCAACTGGGCTGTCTTGTCAAACGTCAAAAAAACATTGAGGGGAACTTCGACGTTAAAAAAATTCACGTGCATAGAATTTAAATAGTGTAAAGTTTGTTGTTGTTATTTTCTCAGCATTCAAACTCGTGAATTAAGAAAGGTTTAACGCTTTCGTTTAAAAGGCTTTCAAGCCTTGATTTCGGTGTGAAATGAAAATAATTTCAAATTTCTTTATATTAACATTCCATTCGAATACCCTTCACCAATTATGACAACGAAATGTCAAACTAAATGTGACGTCTATTTTTACGTATAACTTGCGTACAGCGAACAAGCGCTGTAGTTCTTAGTGTTCTGCTTTCTTTATTAAAGACAGGGTGACCACCGGGGGCCTGACTGGCAGCCATGTTTTTGATGCTATCATCTGCTCTTGTCTTTCTGCTTATAACACGATTTCCGTTCCTTTCCACCATGTATACGTCAGGCGGACCGTATTTAAATAAGGCCCGTGATGTTGCCTACTGTCAAACGTATAGGATTGATCGCTCTGAGACTTGGAAGCATATTAAGGGTTATAACAAATTACACAACAATTTATAGAATCTAGTGGACAAACCCTGGAAATTTTAGTAAAATTTAAAAGAATTCAAAGTGTTGATTTCGAACAAATATTGAGAAGGATTCCCACACAGTTTTTGAAGGAGAAGTTCTGAGCAGAATTCCAGAACTATTCTGACATGAAATCCTTAGAAATTGTTGGATGAATGTGGAGGGATTTCTGTGGAGAAAAATTCAAGTTCTAAATGAAATTGTTAGGTAATTTTAGATTATTTAAAAAGGAGTAGTTAAACACAAAACTGCTGAAAATTCTTACGTGATTCTGAGGAGATTTGTATGGGGATCGTGAGGAAAATGACAGATGAATTTTAAAAAGAATTCCAAGAGAATTATGATCAGAATTCAACAAGAAACAGAGTGCTAAGAGTGTTCTGGCAATAATTTCAACTCTAGTGCGAAAGATTCATCACAAAATTGATTGCAAAAAATTTGTTGATAATTATAAAGAAATTCTTTGAAATAATCCAAGGGGTTTCTAAATAAAATCTCGAAATTCTGCTGTTTTGAATAGAGCTAAAAGAAATTTTTGAAAAGATTTTCAAAGGAATCAAAGTCTCCGGAATTCTAAGAAGGATGTATCGATTCTTTGGACAAAATCTTCCCGGTGGTGCCATTTAATTCCAGAGTTTTCCCGGTGATAACAAATTCTCAGATTTTTCCCGGGACGCATTTCTTTTAATCGAGCACTTAAAAAACCTGAACACCCCTCATTTGTAGGTGTGTCCGTGCAGAATGATGCCTCTATTTTGATTTTGACATTTCAAGAGCAAATTTTCATTACGTCGAAAGTAACAAAGGTAAACAAAGTCGAACTATCAGTGTCAATCGATACTCCTTCTATAACACCCAAGTAACCACCAAGCTTGCTAACTACCCGATAATCGCTTTTTTTTTGCGATATAAGGTAAATATAGTGTTTCCGAACTTTATATCAATCGTATAGCAGCTTTATATATCAAAAAGGGCGATTAACGGGCTTGTTGGTTACTTGGACACTATATACTGTCCAAATATAGGCTCACGTCCCATTTTTAAATTTTTTTACCAGTCAAATTGTAATCATCTTCCGATCAAAATATTTTTCGATGTTACTTAAGTCACCCGATTTCTATGGAGAAGCCGTTTGTCTTAAGTAACAGCGCAGAGAAACCCGTGAAAGGTGTACGTTCGTCGTTTCGCTTTCTCAATCCATCAGAAATCGAGCTGATTGTTGCTAAGATGATTTCGGTGGTCCTGAAATGATGAATGGGCTGCACGTAAGGAGACGTGATTGATAATACACTTTGACTTAGGTAACATTAAGGGACCACTAAACGACGTATAATAACTTTTGACACAAAAACCAGTATATTTTAACATGAAAGCTAACGATCTGCTTTGTATGATTAAAACCCTGCTTAATATGTTAAACATTGCTATCACTATGAGATTATATGTGTGGAAATAAGAATAACTTTTCGGTCATAATTTATTTTTCTCGGATCGGTGGGAAAGTTACTTCCGACATAATGAAAATTTGCTCTTCAGTTATCAAAATGGCGTCCAAGCAAGAGGAACAAAGCATCAACATTTCGCACGCCAGCAGTTCCATTTCAACGACGATTTTTTTTTTTAATTTTTCGATCGACCTTCTACGATTATGTTGAAACTTTGCACAGTTGTTTGTTATTGTCCAACATGCCATTTTACATATTTGGTTCCCTAGTTTTGCACACGACTAACACTTGAACAGAGCCTATGCAAAAATGATACGCATCAATAGAAAAATATATATCTCGTGAACGATTTGTTTGATCAAGATGGTGTCTTTGAAGAAGTTGCGGACAATTATTGTGCCTTCCAAGAAAAAATATACACTGTAAAAAATTATAATATTTTTTACAAAAGAAATCAAAATTATCACACAAAAAATTACTCAAATTGCATATTTTTTTTTAAATTATTTTTTTTTATATTTATTTTGTAGTTTAGATAAAGTAATACCTACTGACACTGTGCATTTGCTGGGCAAATCATAAACAAAAAAGTTATGAATTATTGAAAAATAAGTATTTTCCAAAATACTACCAATACGCCTGAATTTAGAAAGAGACGACATGTCAAAATTGTCTGTCATAGTCATAGGAAAAGTCATTCCAATCGAGCAGAAGACCTGTCAAATTGATAAGATGTCACCTCTTTATAAATTTAGGCTCTTTATAGGGAACCATATATGTAAAATGGCATGTTGGGCAATAACAAACAACTGTGCAAAGCTTCATCATAATCGTAAAAGGTCGATCCGAAACGATTTGCGAATCTGTGTGGAACTGCTCACGCGCATCGCTAAAATCCGAAATTCTCGCACGCCGAGTTAGCGAAATTGCTAAAAATCCCTATAATAAAGAATTTGAAAAAAATGTACGTGTGGCTTGAAAAGCGACATTACCATTGCAACCGGGACCGTCAACCAGGCAATGTACGTGACGAGTGTCTGTAAAAACGTCTGCTGCCTTTCCTGAAGCAACACGATTGTTCTGTGCTGTTTTGACCGGATTTGGTATCCTGCCATTACGAGAAAAAGGTTATGGAGTGGTATGCCGCCAATAACGCGTAGGGCAAAGGACAAGAACCCTCCGAACACGCCAGAGCTTCGCCCAGTCGAAAAATATTGACCCATCGTCAACATGAAGAAGACCCAAAAAACTACGGATATTTACGGAAATAGTGACCAAATAGTGACTTGTAAATAGCCATTTATGTGGTAACTTAGAAATTCAAATACGGTTTGATATTGAAATAAACTTTTTATGACATGGAACTAACTTACAATCAAATTTCATAAATTCGTCTCATTTAATCGAATCTCACAACGGAATCTCC